ACATCCACACCCACAGCTTCAGTTCCATGAAGTATTCCAGATCTACACATACACATTTTAATACTGGACACAGGGTCATCAAACCTTGCACAATGTCCTTAAAATTTCAGGAGTTCTTCTCTCCACTCCCACTATCATTACCTTAGTTCAGGTTCTAATCATTCCTCTCCCTGGCACATCAGTGAATGACCTCTTCACCAGTCTCACCACTACCGAGCTGAATCCTGCTACTAAAGTAAACTTACTAACATTGAAATGTAATCATTTACTCCCCTGCTAAAAATTATTTAATAGGACCTTACGGTTTTCAGGAAAACGTTCAAATTGACTTACATAGTAAGTTCCTGCCAATATCTCTAATAAGCTTCATCTCCACTACACTCACTCTTTGGTTCCAGCCAAACTCTGTAGACCTCGGCATCTGATGTAAACCTAATTTAGGGTATTCCCCAACAAACCTTGAATACAAACTCTGACCTAAAGTATTACTTCATCCAGGAGATTGTCCCTATACTCACACGGGCTGATTTAGATAACTACTCTCAATGCTCATGTAAAACTTTGTAAATTTCTTCCATATCAATCACACCAATTTATAGGTCCTTCTCCATTAAACTATTAACAGTCTCTAACAGTTTCCAGGGAAAGAGCACTTTGTATTCCCTGCACCTGGTAAACAGAAATCATTCAATGATTGCTATTTGCAGGAATGAATGAGGATTAAACAGAAATTTATATTTTGGTAAAGTTATTCCAATGATAATGAACTTGGTCCTCTGTCCAGGACAATCAGTGGGCAAATCCTTTCCTGTCATTGAAATGGCAGTGAAAACTTACTTTTGCTTTTTCGTTTTTTCTTTCAAAAGATGACCGGTAAGGGGATCTTAACCCTTGACTTGGTGTTGTCAGCACCATGCTCTCCCAAAGTAAGCTAACCAGCCTATAGGGATCCGAACCCTTGGCCTTAGTGTTATCAGCACCACACTCTCCCAAGTGAGCCACGGGCCAGCCCCAAAAACTTGTTTTAATTTTCTAACGCACCAAAAGAGACCCAAAGCCCATATTACCTGATCTCTCTATCCATGAATCAAAAACTGATTTTTGTTCTGGTCAAGAGAGCGGAATAGATGGTCCCCAGCATCACACTCTCCCACAAATCAATGAATTTACAACTATAAAAATGTAACAACAGCCAAGCTGGGGCCACTGGAGCTCAAGGGAAGAGGAGGAGCGACCTATGGAGTTCATGAAGGGGTAGAAGCCACGATGAGAGAAAGAAAAAACTGCTTGGAGTGTTTCGGGCCATGGCCACTTTAAGGCTGGAACTGCTGAGCGCATGGAGCATGAGCCAGCAGAAGCCACAGCTGTGCCCTTCAGATGGAGTTGCTTGGAGGCGGCAGGGAAGAAGAGGGCCTTGGTGGCTCCCAGGACAGCAAGACCAGTAATAGGGTTCCTGTGGACCCAAGCAAGAGCAAGGAGCCAAAACAGCTGAAAAGGGGGAGCTATTCAGAGGCCAGTGAGTCATCACAAGGGACCGGCGCAGAGCCCATCCCATGGGAAGTGTTTGGAGCACGGGCAGTGGAGGAGATGGGCCCACCAGGAGAACGCTGAAACACAGCAAGGACATCCGATCCGCCCCCCAGTCAGTGCAGGACTATGCAGAGGAGACTGGTCGGGAATGCAGAATTGCATGGGATGCAGTTTGATGAAAAGATTCAGGTGCAGATCAGAGTTTCTACACAACCCAGGTGCACCTGGCCCCTGGAGAGCCAGAAGTACTCATAAGGTCAACTATTAAACCCTGAGCTGCACAAAAAGCCTTCCCTAGGGAAACAGCAGCAAAGCAGCAATTTAGCTCAACAACCCAGTTCAAGTACTGGTTCCCACAGGAAGTTCCCCGTTTTAGAAGTAAGCAAAGGACAAAAAACTAGTTCCAGCCCAGGCAAACCACCAGTGCCTTGGGGCCCTGCCCAGGGGCCTGGGGCATGCAGCTGACACCAGATCCTCTGCCCACAACCAGGCACACTGCCAGCGCCAAGGAGCATGCCAAAAACATCGCCTCCATGTGGGTGGCCCACCACAGTAACCACAGATGCGAAAGTGGCTAGACATCACAACCACCATGCAGATGGTCCACCAGCCACTTGAGTGCACTGACACAAGGAGAGTCACCAGCAGAGTCCAAATAAAAGAAGAGGACCACAAAGCCCATTCCAGAGTGACAGAAGCACCTGCTCTATGATAATATTGGGGGACCTGAACACACCTCTCGGCATTGGACAGATCATCTAGGCAACAAATCAACAGAGTAACCGTTACCTCTTTTAGAGGGAGAGAAGAAATCTAGGGTTATCAGTGGTGGGAGGGAGAAGGGGATGGGGAGAGATTGGACAAGGGGCATAAAGAATAAGTATAATTTGTAACAATATACATACTGGTAATATTGATTTGATCAACATATGTCAACACTGAATCCCAAATATGTATAATCAATTATGATTCAATAAAAAAAGATTTTATAGCTAAATGTAAATCTGTTTAAAGGCACAGGTCTGTCCTTTGTGAAAAAGAGAAAGTGACATTGTAAACTATATTACTTAAAAAATAATTCTCTCCATTTCCCCACCAAACTCCTTCCAGCCAACCAAGACCCTATTTCACCATTACCACCCCTTCCAAATAAAAACTTTTTCTCCCTCTACCTATTCTTTAATTCATTGGTCACCCAGAACCATAAAGCCGCTGTGGGGGAAGATGAGGTGCAGGGCTAGTCATCTAACCACAACGAATTGATTTGAGAAAGGTCCTGAATTAAACAATCATCTCCACTCTTTTCCATAGCTTGAGGGCAGGCCAAACTATAGTCCCTGATTAAAAATGTCCTAAGGGAAGTGGACTAGAGCAAATTGCATAGAATTTTGAGGAGAACTAAAAATTACAATGAGTTCTATGAAGTCAATGACCCAAAGGATAACTGAAATTATTCTGTCTGGAAAAGACTTACCACATATACACACTCTACTGTTTGTTTGTTTTTTTTCTTTCCTTTTTGTCTTTTTTCGTGACCGGCAACGGATCGCAACCCTCAGTGTCGCGCCCGAACCGGGACCGGCAACGGGATCGCAACCCTCGGTGTTGTCGCGCCCGCACCTCGCTCAGCCAGTGAGCCGCCGATCTGTATGTGGGATCCGAACCCGGGCCGGCCCCACACACTCTACTGTTTGTTTGTTTTTTTTCTTTCCTTTTTGTCTTTTTTCGTGACCGGCAACGGATCGCAACCCTCAGTGTCGCGCCCGAACCGGGACCGGCAACGGGATCGCAACCCTCGGTGTTGTCGCGCCCGCACCTCGCTCAGCCAGTGAGCCGCCGATCTGTATGTGGGATCCGAACCCGGGCCGGCCCCACACACTCTACTGTTAACAGGTACTATAACTTTCTCTCACCTAGTCCTCCCTCCCTCCCTCCTTTCCACCCACTGCCAGCACAAAACCTAATTTTTTTAAAATATGGAGAAAAAGCATCAAGTTATGATAATACTGATAAGTTAAAGGCAAAAAAGTATATATTGTGCTCTAGACATCTGAAAATATTTTTCTAACAATCTATATTTGTTGCACCAAATAATAAAGGAATTTCAAACTGTCATTCTTCTCCCTTAAAGAGTCAAAACATAACTGGCATAATTTCGGTCATGAAAAGCCACATACTCCTGGCTCACACAACCAGCACAGAATCATATTAAGGCAGGCAATGTAGTTAAGACTGGGGAACAGAATAAGGGTGGGTATCAAAAACAACTGTAGTAGTGACATTTATGATTAAGAACCCAATATTCAATCCATTCGTTACAAAATTATAAAACCCTACCTCCAAAAAAAAATTGGAAAGAGAAAGAAATATATTGAGAAACTTGTTCAATTATTTTCAGCTGTTTGCAAGCAGGCAGAACTTTCATGCCGGAGTGTATTTTTTTAAATAAAGATTTCCAGGCCCCACCTGCCCGAAATTCTTTTGTAAGTTTGGAATGGAGCCTGGGAATTGGTATGTTTACTTAAAAAGTTCCCCAATGGCTCTGGTCATCAGCCAGGTTTGTCAGAAGTGCTATATATCATTCCAAGAAGGGACCTTTCCAACCCTTATGGACGCTCATTCTAGCAGTCTAAAAAATTACCGAACTTCTTCCTATAGATACACCAAATAAAACAGCACCATGTCACCTCACCTTCGTGTTCTTCCTCACCCCTAGGGTTAGTAACTCATTTTCAATCCATCCCTCATTAACAGAAGTCTTCCTTTCTTATCTCCACCCTTGCAGTAACCAAGTAATAAGCAGAAGGATAAAACAAAGGGAAACTATCAGCTCAATACCCGGAAATCCTGTCAGTTCTAACATATGAGAGAAAAAAACTCATTCCAGACCATTCTAGTATATAATTAATTCTAAAGGAAATACCCACTTTCGAGGATGGTCTGGGAAAGAGTCGAAAGGTAAGTTAAACTGGGAGCCCTTACATCGAGAAGGGATAGACTAACGTTCTGAAAGAAGAAAAAACTTTAAAACAGGGCAAGTCAGGAGTGGGCCGCGCGGGCACCTCGGCCACTGTGACACTCGACACCGCAGCCTTCACTCGGGTTGCTAGGAAACAAAAAGGCTCCAAGTTCCCCGCAATTCCTCCCGGGCCTGGCAGACACGAGAGGGGCCTCCGGGGCCTGAAGACGCCACAGGACTGGGCCTGGCCACTGCCCCGGGGACGCGAAAGACGGGGAAACCCGGGGACCGGGAGCTCGGGCTGAGGGGCCGCGCGGGGAGCGGGCCCCAAGCCTCGGGAGGAGGGCGGCCCGGGGCTCTGAGGGGCCGGGAACGGACCTCCGGAACAAGCGGCACCCGGGCAGGCCGCGAAGGGCTCGGCTCCCACCAGGCCGCAGCCGGGAATCCGAGGCGGAACGTGGGGGCCTAGACGACCACCCGGCGCCGCGCGGGGGAGGGGGCGTCTACTCACACGTGCTGACAGGCCGCGGTTCGCACGGGCGTTTTAAGCACCTCCTGACAGACAGGGCAGTAGAAGTCATCTTCAGTGTAGGACGTGGCCGCGGAGAGCTCCTCAGCCATGGCTGGGGGCGGGGGAACAAGGCGGCGGCGGCCGAGGTGACGGTAGCGGCCCGGGGCCCGACTCCCTGCGCGAACCCGGAGGGGGAGGGGAACCGCGTCAGGAAACTGCTCGCGCCAGGCAGGGGGCGGGGCTCCAAGGGGGCGGGGCCGAGCGCAGAGGCGGAACAGCCGCACGCGCCGGGCAAGAGGCTGCCCTCTGACAGTCTTCCCGCCGGCTCGCTTTCAGCCCGGCTCGGAGCATGCCCAGGGCCCGCCCCTCTCGCCGGCAACTGCCCCGCCCCCTTGTACAGGGAGCCACTGTACTGGGCTCCTCGGCCGGGCCGGCTCCGCCCCAGCCGGCCTCTCTGCCCGCGGCCTCCCTTTTCCCGGCTTTTCGGCTCCTTCTTCCCACCCCTACCCCGAGCCCCTCTCCTGCGTAAGCGGCTCCCTCCCAGACCCTTTCTCCTCGCCCGCTGCAACCCACCTTTTTCCGTCGCTCCTCCTCTTCCTCCCGACCCGCTCCTCCCAGCTCCTTTTCCTGGCGCCCCCGCCCCTCCACTCCTCCGCAGGTGTAGACCTCTCTCTTGGGAGTCCCAGAACCGTGCTGTGGATGGAGCCGCTTCTCCGGTCGCGCTTTGGTAGAGAAGTGGCCCTGCGCCGTTCTTGGGCTTCTTATTCAGCCGCTGCTGCCTTCGCAGCCGAGGCCCGGGGGCAAATGGAGGGCGGTGTCCGCACTGCTCATCGGCCTAGGACCGGGCCGGGCACTAGGCTTATGGTGCACCGGGATCCCACTGTCCCCGCCAGCAGCTCTCCCGTGGCATCGCGCTGCCTGCAGCCTGCCCGGCCGGTCACAACACGGGAGGGCGACGGGCACCTGGCAGAGGAACTGAGAGAGGCGGGGGCGGAGTGGAGAGGGGCTTCCATAGCAACCGGCGCGTGGCGCCTTCAGCAGGTTGTGACGTCAACAGCTGGGTGCCCACATTCAGGTACCTGTCGCCCCCACCCCCCAGGCTCCCTACAGCGAGGACTCCATTTCTCACCACTCCTGTCAAATATGTTGGGTTTTCAGAAATTTTTCCTCAAAAAATATTCCCTAATGTTAAAGATTTGGTCTTTACTATTTGCCTTTGTCAGAATGTTTTGATCTTAAGATGTGCTGTGAAACAAGTAATATTCGTTAATGGGATTTTAATCCTTTTGCGTAGAGGGAGATTAAAAATAAGCTCCTTTGACAGTTTCAGCTTCCGCCTTTAACACAATGTGGCCTAAATAGGCTGAGTAGTCATAGCCGCAGATGCAGCCTTCGACCCACACCTTGGGTTTTTTTGTTTTTGTATTGGGTTTGGTTTGGGTAGCTTTGAAGGTAAATGAGGTGGAAGAATGGACCTAGGCATTTCACCAAAGTTATTCATGAATTTAAATTTATTTTTTAAAATAGGCCTTTAATTGCTAGATATGTCCACAAAATTAAGTCTGTAAAATGGGATCACAACGATGTTAAAAGGAGCTAAGGAAAATCTGAAATATCATAGACCATCTTCAATTAGCTTCAGAAAAAAAATGTTTCATTACTATCTTTTGTTTATTACAGCACTCCACCAAGGTCTAAATGAATCATAAATAGAAACCATTTAAGAGACTAGTTAATTCAGTTCTCTCATTTATTGTCTATGTTGTTCTTGGCATCCTGTTAGGTGTTATGCAGATGTCATGACCTTTGCTCTCAAATAGTTTACATTTTTAGGTATCTGTCAAAATGAGAACAAAAAATGCTATTCGCCAAAGTATTAAATTTTGCACTGATAGTTGCTATAAAATGAGGATAGGAAATGAAATGATTGGAATTGAATGGTCATAGAGGAAACTTTATGGAGGAAGTGGGTCTTAATGCGCAACTTAAAACAATGATTCCTAGAATATTAACTCAATTATTTGTCCAATGAATAACTAATTCTCTCTACCAAACTACAACATTTTGTATTTATGTTCCTTTTCTTCCTTAGCAGCAAAGACAGGGGAAACAGCAGGAAAGCTAATATTAGCTTCAGATTTCATAGGAGGAGGAAGAGCACATGATGGGAAGGGCAGCTGATAGTAATCCAGGTGCTTTTCAAATTCACTTATAAAACAGTTCTTGGATTCCAAATTTCACCTTTTTGGTAATATATTTCCACACATTCATTCATTCTAACCATTTTAGAAAGTAAGGTGTATTTACTGTATAATACAGTATATCCCATTATTCATTCGGAACCCCTAACCATAACATTAATTTTGTGACCTTAATTTTATTTGCCTCGTTCTTTCGCTGTAACAGGAACTATCCAAACGTATTTGTATTAATCCCTCATATATTCTAAAAACTCATTTGGTGTACATGTAAGCATATATTTGGCGATATGTGGAAATCCATCAAAAATTTGGGTATAAGTAAAATGTGGTTACCCTCTGAGAGGTAAGCTTTAAAAAATAAATTATAGGGGCTGGCCTGGTGGCGCACTGGATAGTGCGCCGCTTGGGAAGCGTGGCGGCGCTCCCGCCCGAGGGTTCGGATCCCACAT